GTTGCTAAATATTGGCGCCACTATAGCTTCAAATTTTGTCTTAACACCTCACCACAATAGCGGTAAATTGTGCGAATTCAGCTCGTGCAAGATTACGATTTACAGCAATACGCTAGCAAATGTAAACGAATATCAGTACCACGAAGGTGAGTGATTAGTGGCCATAATAAGCTGAGGAACGTATACACTAGCTTCTTTATTGGTGGCAAATTTTGATGAGAAAAATCGGTTAAAAATGCGGGAATCGGATGTCTCACTCTTGTGTTATTATCTACTCTTGATGCGGTCCAAGTGCTGCACGGAACTGCGTATGTGCCGGCGAGGAAGAGGACGTATTGATGCAAGTTATTAACTCATGCATGGGAAGACACCAATTGAGTTCACGCTTTCCACAGTGCCGGGCACACTGCAAGTTCGACCCCGCCCACCTAAATATCTTACATACATGGCTTACCTATGAGATCACAAGTCAACCTAGCTGCAAGTAACCGTATCGCTAATATCAATGCGCAGCTTTCGTTATGGAGTCGGATGAGATTAAATCCTACTCAAAATCGCGCACAATAGCAGCGTAGGCCGTAGGGCATCCATGCTAGGAGCTAGCACTGAAAGGAGAGAGCAAGACGTGGCATGCAAAACCCTCTACTCTGTATACCTGACAGTAACCTGAGGAATTCAGCCACGAACGAACGCAAACCAAGAGTGGCAAGTTAGTCAGCCGTGTATTTGAAGATATTGCAGGCCTAAACGGATTATTATATTCGACGTTGCTATACTATACATATGTACGTTCTGCACGCATATGAGAGTCTGCAATCACGCGTACCCCATCTGTAATTTATGAAATGGTTTAGCTACATGAAATCAGGAGTTAATAAAGACAATTTGTCTTATTAAGCTGCGCTGATTGCGAAAATAAACCAAGTACACGATTTTTACAAGCCTAACGCACATGATTTCTTTTTCATTTTCTAGATTACTAAGCCAACTAAAAACTCGCTCACTGCATTACACGTGACATGCAATACGGTCGTTCACAGATCGCAGTCTATCAGTTGCTGCAACCAACCAATCATTTAACAGTTTAATGATTCAACTAATTATTTGTGATAATTATACCGTTTTTAGCTGCGGGGGTAGTAATTCGGTCTCAGCACGCATTTCTGCGGTAGAACAGCTGGGAATGCTGCAGGAAAGGGCAAATCATTTGGCCGCTCTCCCCTGGATTGCAACAAGATAACCTACTATGCGCAGCCAGACTGCCATACCCGGCCGCGAGGTAAAAATAGCACCCAGGCATTTGGCCGCGCTCCAACTAGCACACGCGCGGCTACTGTAGATGGCACAGTCTGAACATGTAGTCCAAGATTTTTAGCTCAAATATGGCCAAACCCGGACATTTTTCAAAACAAGCTGAATTTTTCAGTGCAAAATTGCGCCCAAGGTTGCCTGTGCGCGTAGCTCATCGTCGCTACATTGTTAGCCACACACGGCCCTCAGTAATGTCATCATCAGCAGGCTTCAGTGACGCCAAGACTGGCCGTGCATCAAACTGATCCGAACTGGTAGCATTTGACACGAGGTGTGGTGTTTGACACATACATGTATATCTTTTACGATATGTAGTTTTAATAAAGGCATAGAACGTCATACCAAAAGAAAAATAATACTTATGATGTTCCGACCAAGAAATGGTATCAACATAATTATATGTTGCTGCAATGATGTGGAACATTCCAAACACATAATAGGTGGGGGGGGGGTACTGAAGGGTCAATGGGCATAAAACCATAGAATATTGACATGAGAAGTACTTCTCATGCGTAAACATCATAAAAAGCCTTTCTATGAATTAGTTCAACATACACAGAAACCTATCTACGGAGCCGTGCGACACATGCATATGGTCGGAGCTATGCACCCGGGGTCGAAGCTAAAAGTGAATGATACTGTACATGAAGAACACTGACTTGATGCTTTAATTCCTCATAGACCCCCCCCCCCCCGTACCACCCCACCGTACCATTCGCACAGAACAATGAAGAACTCCATGCTCCATTCCAACTGTCAGACACACTACACTCCTTGACATCTTGATGAGTTACGTGGCCGTCAAAATGAATTAATTCCAAATCGACCTGCCTGCACATCTAATGAATGCATTCACGGCCACTCAGCGGAGGTCCTTACTGCGATGAGCGCTATACGCAGCATACATAACAAGTACCGGCTATGAGTATGACCTATATGCGGGGAAAGAAGCAACGAGGTAACCTTTAAGGTGGCGTAACACGGCCACGCATGTAACGGTAATAGCAGTAACACTGCTCGTGTTAATCTTAGTATTGTCCTAATTGCGAGAACACTGACAGGCCTTGAAGAAAGATTCCAAGCAGAGTGCGCAGCATTCTATTTGAGACGGATCTCACGCATTTGTTTTACAATGAAGCAGAAATTCTTGGAAAATTCACAGTTCAACTAACAAAAGAAATATGACAAAGGACACGGCTAACTTTATAGCACTGCTATATTGATATATATCTACTATTTTTGTTACTTTCATGTTTTTACTAAACCATTTAAAACGATGCAATCACCGACGTATTACGGCCTGTCAGCTGAGTGTAACAATTCTAGACGTTGTAGTAATCAGACATGACATGCGCACATGGTAGTAATTGGAGCACACAATTCATGCACACACAAACAAACCCACGTACCTACACACTCATGCACCCACCATTGCTGCAAGCAAACACACTAACACACAGACGCACCCACACCACACACGCTCTCTCACAACATAATAATATACCCTACATTATATTTCCAATATCAACCATTTATAAAGCCGGTAGGTAAAATCAGCAGGTATATGAATAGTCCAGTGATTGACAACGGAATAAGTGCTTTATCCATTAATTTATCCATGCAATATTCATACAAGGCATGCACCTGACGAGACCTTTTGACTAGAAGTTCAATCATGATATGATACACATCTAGGGGACTAAGAGGGTATGTCCCAAGCCTGCTGTCTGTCTAATTGCACTACATACACTATATACCTTACCTACTCCTATACTTACTAGTTACTACTATATACCTTGCCAACTCCTATACTTATACCTTACTTCATATACCTTGCCTGCTCCCACATTCTACACACAATAACATACCATAATTGGCATAATTCGATTGATTTAAGAAATGAGTGTCAAGTTTCAAACACCAGAAAAATTGCCATTTATAGATGTGCTTAATGTACTCTTGACAATACCAACCAAAGAAGTGTTTGAATTCTTAACCCATCAAATTATTTGAAATTATTATAAAGAAATCAATGTTTTTGATAATAAATAGCATTCTGTGTAAATCTAACAATCTCGAGTTTCTTAGTATATTTACTGTAATTTTCTGCAGTACATTGCCATTTAGAATATCAAATAACAGCCCAGGAATAAATTCTTAGCAAACCAAGAATATTAGAGCAATCCTCTCACTCTACAGATGTATGACCTTTTTGGCATGTAAGATGTTTATATGTATAAATGGGGCTTCAGGCTCCACAGTGGCCTTAAAAGTGTGAGTTGCACGGAATGGTCCTATAAAATTATTATTATTATTACTAATATTATTATTATCAAACTTCATTTATAATCCGCATATTTGCCTTGCAAAATAAAAGTGATGTGGTCAACCAGACCTTTACGCAGACCTGGATGCAGGGGAAGGTTCTACATAGCTATCACAGACGAGCACACTAAAAATACAAAGTACACAGTTTATGTTGTGTTTGCTTCTAGCTATCTATATACAGCATTCTCCAAGCTTTTTCATTATAGCATGGCGGGTGCTGCCTTTACGGTCCTTGTTGCAAATCGCCGAAGGCAGTTTGCGTGCTAGGGGGGTCCGGGGGCTATGATATTTTGCATGGCGGCTATGATATTTAGAGTGGCGGGTGCATTTTAGGATGGCGGGGCTCGACGATAGCCTGGCGGGCCGCCAGGCTATAAGTGCTCTTGGAGAACCCTGATATAGGAACTAGCTAGCTGAAAAGCTCCTAGATTTAGGGTTTCTGCACAACACTGTGTACACACACATGACACGTACACCTATATAATTTATATACCAGTTGGATTGGGTATATATATATGCAGACCAATGTAAAAACTTAAATCATGACACAACTATACCAGGGGTAGAAATTAACTTTTGAACGAGGGAATCCAACGGACTCCTTGACCTCAAAAAAAGGGAGTCTGCAGCAAAATAAGCGAGTCTGCAGACTAAAGTTCAAAACTAAAGATATCAACATTACAATAACGCATACAATTTACATGTGCTTATTTTGAAGATTCATGCGGTTGCACGTCTGCAAAATGTTCTTTGGACATTTTCTGAAAAAAGTACGGCAATTCTGCGAGGCTGTGCTCTGGAACGAACTAATTACTATAGCAGAATTTTCAGGGAGTCACACGAACTCCTCAATATGTCAAATCAGGGAGTCCGACAGTAAATCAGGGAGTATTTGACTCCGGACTCGCGTTAATTTCGCACCCTTTATAGTGTATACACATATAAAATGTGCATAATTAATAAAATGGCATATTACTGAAAATGGCTATATTTGTAAACTATGCTATTAAAGACTACAAATTATTGGGATTCATACGCATTCCTACAAGCAAACCATTGCTGTAGGCCAACCACAGGATATTGGATCACTGCCAAATTCACAGTATTACCAGGCAGAGGTTCTCATTAGTAAAGTGAAGAGAGCATCTGCGATGTAATGCATTTTTGGCCGAATGCCAAGCTTTTTATGCCCATCTGAAGGGACAACGACGCTATAGTATAGATATTAATTTCAAAACCTGGGTATGTGGAAAAGCGATGAGCCTTCGAGGTACGCACAAAGGCCAAAGAACTTGCTGCAGAGCACAGAAAGAGCTATGGCTATTCATTCACTTAGTGTATAAGTATAACTATAAACCCACCTATTTTAATGCACCCAGTGGCTTCCAGGCTGCACAGCATCAGTCGCATTCTGGGGGTTGACATTACCTATGCCATCAAAGTTAAAATCGAGGCTACCCTCGACACTCAGTTCATGTCGTATCACTTGGTCTACATCACACTCTAGTCCCATCATCGTATCAAGGGCCAAGTCCAAGTCACTCGACAAGGCCGGTTGAATTGCCTGAGGAGTGATGGCAGACTGACTGTTCTCTGTGCTTGCCACAGTCGCAAGGTCTGTCCCGACAGGCGTCAACATCGTGAGTGGGCCTTGGGATGAAGGTGTGTAGACGTGGCGACTGACGGCTGTTGAAGACATCATCGGATCCTCGTTAAGGACCGTGTTAGCGTACAGGTTCTGACCGGTGGGCTGCTGAAGGGTCGTGAGCGAGCTGCGAGGGGAGACCGACTGCTGGAGAGGAATGCCAAATCCACTCGACTGTTGGCGCTGCTGAGGCGCACCGGTGCTCGACTGCGAATAGGGTGAACCCACGTAGTTGTTGTATGGCGAGTGAGGGTTACTGCAAGTGCGGTTAGCAGCAGGAGAGTGAGGGAAGTGTGCGGGCGACTGGTAGCCGCTGCCGTACCCACTGCCCTCCGGACTCAGCTCATGCAATGGACTTTTGGTGATCTTCATACTTTCACTCAGCGTTTCCGTCAACTGTTCCGCAAAAAGGTCCATGCTATTGGAGCCGTACGATGAGCCGTTGTACTCCGCATTCCAGGGGATTGGCGACATGGGAGGGACCTCTTTGTCGTGCATGTCCGTTTCTATGGCTGGAATTGGCGACAGCCTGCCACAGCTGCTCGCATTTGAACTCGTGCGAGGTCTGAAGTCAGCTACACTCAGCTGGAACGTGTCCAGCAATTCGCCACCTTCCGAAGACGTGGGGCTACCATTAGCCAATAGAGCGCGCTGTAGTTCTAACTTCTTCTTCACTCTTCCGCGCTTTTTCTCGTACTTGTGAGTGTCCATGGACCCAGTACGACGCCGAATGTTTTTGCCAGGCTTAGCGTCTGGGTTGATCATCCACCAGGAGCTCTTGCCTGTACCTTCGTTTTGCACTCTCATGAACCTGTTGTGTAGCGACAGGTTGTGTCGTATGGAGTTCTGTCAAAATAAGAGAAATTACTGTAGAAGAAAATCACTGAATATAGTATACTCTAAGATTATTTATTTCCAAATGAATTTAGTCATTGCCAATCTAATCAGTAACATATCTCACTAGATGAGCTATATATCTTCCATGTATTACTGCTGTGTTGGACTTTCAACTGCACATAAATATATATGCAAGAACCGTAACCGGGATGTTGGCAAATAAAATACAACATACACAAGGATCTGAATATTACTAGGTACTGTACGTTCAGCCTTCTATGTTTGAAATTACGGACAGTTAACAGACACAAAATCATGTCACAGCACAACTTTACAGTCGTGCAAATTACCTTCCACCCAGCAGAACTGTTGCTATCTCCCTTGTCTTTGAAGTAAGGTACATTTCTAACCATCCAATCATATATCTGTGACAGCGTCAGTCTCTGTTCAGGCGAACTCTGTACTGCTTTAGTGATGAGATCAGCGTAGGACATATTTCCCCATGCATTCCTCCGTGATGTATTTTTTTTAACACCCGTCGCTCCATCGGCCTGATCGAGGAGTTCTTGCGTAAGGTTAACTGCGTTTTCCGACTGTTCCGACACTGGTGACACACCTCCCCGGGGCTCCTCCGGCTCGGGTTTCGGTGGTCGGAATCCATGCCAAGTATTAGCACGAAACCGTGTCTGAGGCTCTAAGCTTGCATCTATATCACCGTTTCCTAACATATCAAACGTATCCATAGCTGTATAGCGAGTAGAATCACTACTGGCGGTGACTGGCGTTATGAATCCAGGGCGCGGTTGCAATCAGCTATGACTGGTGGTTTGCATAACCAACGCAGCACATATTGAACACATTGAAACTAAAACCGCGCTAACACGCACAATTTTACGACGACCACATGCATGGTTAACCTGTCTTTTCGACAACCACAACAAGGTAAGATGGCGACCGAAACTATATTAGGCCGCGTGCAGAATATATAGCTAATATTGCAGGTCAGAAATTACGAACGACACAGCATGGTGCGCGTACAGTGCCATGTGATGTGCGTCATCACGTGCAGCCGAACAGCCACTTGCTTGGTACGGTATCTGCGCGACACCTATTTTATGCTAGCTACGCGAGGTTCGTGGCCATCTCTACTACGCCTAATAATGGATAAGTAGTGCGAAGTAAGCAAGCAGCGTGGCACATTTACGCGGTGACCCCGGATGTGTAAGGTCGTGTTGGGTTTATATCATAAGGCAAGAGAGTTTGTTGAATGTGTCATCAGTCTACCGCGACAACACAAAGATTTATTACACGAATACACGATAAAACCGACCGTACTTTCTGCATATATACGGAACCAGCGGAGATAGAGAGAGATACACACCTGCGCTAATTGCCACGAAGATATACCAGTACGATATATTGTTAAAATACCTTGACATTTTATAGCAATGAATATTATATATACGTACGACGTATGTCTTATATATACAATTATTAACACCATGCATCTAACATTAGCAAATCCTACACAAAACTATTGCATACTTATTTTTAACTTCGATGTTGGCGCATTGCTAAATATTTTAGATTAAAGCAAAAATAATAACAATGTGTGTACATGATTTAGTAAAAACTTACATTTTATCAACGGCCTTATTGAAATCGTAGCGGATACATATGTATTACATACATATTATTACATAGTAACATTGAAACCGCCGGGCCTTAGACTGCCAGTTCAGCCGCAATTATCTTAATTGTTGGGTGATATCAGTTATTAGGTATATTATATATTTGTATCTGTTGTTCTTGAAGGAATTTTCTGGAGTCATCCCATTCGCTATGGCCAACCATACCCTCGTTATATAGACGCGTAAACCCAGCGAAATTCGCCGATTCAGTATACTAAACTGACTCTAGATTTCAGGCGACTCAGTTCGCCTAGTACGGATTTGCGTGGTGACTTTTCTGACCCTGTAACTTAACTTTATAACATAAACCCCAAATCGCAAAACCGTCATTTGTTGCAACAGTGCCACCAATTTTCCGCACGATGGTGGCGTTCTTACGTACTATTCATGATGAATAGGAGTTTAATACATAGTAATCACTTAAAATATATGAATTTATCGAATTTTGATTTCATAAGCATGAACGCACTAAGATACAACCGTGAAACGGCCACTTACAATCACGATGTGTTAATTAGATGTAGATTTGGACAATAAAAGTGTATAATTTAAAAGCAAACATCAGCATAGACATATTTTAATCTGTTTTGTGCAACGTTATTTACGAGGTATATCATTAATTAAATTACATTACATGAAATCAAAACGTAACATTACAACATGTTTGCAAATGTGCGCGCATTTATCCATCCGTTTGCAGTCAGTGGCAGCGCGTGCATGCGTCTGTACGTGGGTGGATCACTGATCTCTACTATACTAAGTATAGTATAGTAATTTAGTAAGTTTAGTACTTTTAAGTAACTTAGTACTTTTAAGTAAATTAATAGTAAGTTAGTATAGTAGAGATCAGTGGGGTGGATGCATGCGTTTTTGCATGAATAATAAATATCTTTTATAAAGCAGACTATTGGCGCTAGGTGGCAGCACGTACTTACAAACTAGCAAAGCCACAGGGTAAAGAAAATAAGGTAACTATAATTATTATAATAGCAATCCAAATTAGCTCATAATATAAAACCTATCTACGCATTAGTACCAGAATAAAATAGTTTAATTATGCTGGGGCAAATCACTGCTTGCTGTCGTATGAGTTGTAATAAATTATTAAATTTATTAAAATTATTCATAATATAATAAGCGATATATTATTGAAAATCCGCATATTTATAAAATCCATTTATATATACTTCTAAAACTAGCACTGAAATGGTATAGATTGAAAATGGGATATGAAAGCGCAAAATTATAACATGTGCTTGTGCATATTTGTTAGCAATAAAGAAACCAGTAGATAAATTAATTGCGCTTCAACGCCAAATTAAAACAATGAATTATTTAGGGTGAATATAAGGATATAATATAAAATAATAATATAGAATAAATTAAGTATAAATAATACAGTCATTGTTTTGGGAACCAACAAACAAATAGAAGTTGCAATTTCAAAATCGATGAAATTGAGAAGCATGACTAATTCATATGATTTCGATGTAATAAAACACATTACATGGATGTTCACTATCTATCGTTATACATATTATCAAGAGCAGATAAAGAAGGAGAGCGTACAAGGGTAAAATGCTGAAACGATGCTGCAGTATTAGTCGAATTAATAAACTTTTCCCGTTTTATTTTGAGGATCCTTTGCAGTATTATTGATTAGCTGTCTTACCTTGTTCATATAAAACAAACCGCATGTCCCTACGATGCCCCTACGCTGAGATAATGAGCGGTGAAAATCTGGTATTAGACGCGTGTAGGTAGCTGAATAAAGTGGATGCGAAGCGGCGTAAGGCATGTGGGAGGGGAGGTTTAGGAGCCGATATCTCCGCCTAGGAGTATCGTATTGACAAGCGGTAGGTCTTGTTGTAGAGAGCAAGGAATTCTGCTTAATGCAATACCATGAAATTATTCTAGACTCGCAGGCAAAGTAGAATAATGTAGTCGTAAAATAGCACTATTTTCCCGTTTTTCCGTTGTACACTCTAGGTATTATTAGCTCTTGATATATATGGCCGCATATTACTTTCCTGCACTGCGATACTAAGCCGTTTCACTGGTAAGCCGTCCTATTTGTGTGTGCTACCTAATCGACTGTAATACTATAATGAGATTACCTACCCGGCGATGTCACTAAACTCTTCAGCGTCAGTAGATAGGCCCTCCATATATAGATGTCTGCCCTCCATGATATCAGGAGTATATAATAGAATCTTCTATTATATACTCCTGATGATATCTGTCTACTGACCGTCGGCCCAGCCTCTTGCAAGGCTTGGCGTTGTTCTAAGCTAAAGACATCTCCCCAGATAGTTTGATCTAGCATCCGCGGCCCTTTGCTATCCTATACTAATGCCATGCCTTCATCTGAGATTATGAATTTGGGACTCACGCATGCGCACGCACGCATGCACGCACGCACGCACGCACGCACTCATTTACTCACGCACGCACGCACGCACGCACGCACGCACGCACGCACACACACACACATATATATATATATATATATATATATATATATGCATATTTTATGGAAATAATCTAGACGTGAAAAAATGCATACGCGCATTGCACGTCGTCGAATGATACTGCCTATTGTCTCTAGATTGAACAATATAGTCCTTTAGAAGGCATGCTGTGTAACTAACCATATATAGACGGCTTGCGCGTGATCATTAATTTTCTTGTATATTTCGTATTAAAGTTTCGCAGAATAATTCGAAGCACTATATGACAGGAATTCTGTGACAAAAACTCAGTATTATTCCAACAGAGGGCAGCAGTTCAACGCACATTCAACGCATACTCAACTTACATGCATGCTAAACGACTACGAAATAGCGCGAACGCGCGGTAACAGAGTTTGCAATGAATGTTCATAATGTACACACCGTAAAATGAATGAATTTAAATTATTACATTTAAATAAATTCGCAATTTACTTATTATCGAAGCTCATTGAAATTGTTTAAATTTCGTATTCTAATAAAAGGATCAATGATTATATTTCAATAACCGGCCATTAATGGACCGTATTAATTATTTATTTAATCAAATAGGTTAATAATTATATTAAATTGACGGCCCATTTACGGATCGTTATTTTGCAAAGCGAGGATACTAGCGGTTAGATGACAATGTCCCTGGGGTGAGCTTTGGGTTAGTGTTATGGTTAAACTTAATGTAAGAATTAGTGTTAGTGTTAGAGTAAGGATTAGGGTCATTGACAGAGGGTAAGATTAAGGGTAAGGATTAGGATTAGGGTTACGGTTACGGTTACGGTTAGGGTTAGAGTTAAGGTTATGGTTGGGGTTGGGTGTTAGGGTTGGGGTTGGAGTGGGGGTTGGGGGTTGAGTTTAAGGTTGGGATCAGGGCTAGAGTAAGGGTTCAGTTTTGAGCTATGTGAGCACAATCGCATGTTATGCTGTTGTCGTCAGAAGATGTACAAACTGTGGGCGTGAATATTATGACAGTATTAGCGTTTTGTGACAAAAGAAGCAGCGCGCAAAAAACAAGCAATCAATAAAGCGAGACAAACCTGGATTTTAGATGTTAACTTTATAAATGTCGTGAAAAAAATCAAGTCATCGATCAATCTGTTACATATACAAGCATTGCTATGAGGTCGCCACGTGAACGAGCGACAAATTACCCCTTTCTTGTATAATCTAACTATATGCGTTCCTAGAAGATTCTCCCGCGCTTCTATTTTTAGTTCGTTTGGTACTGTAGCTTTTTCGTGCCCAATTTGCTTCGCGAAATAAAACCACTAGTATATCGACCATATCCCCAGACTGGTGAACACACACGTGGCATACATTAAAACCTGAAGATTGTTGTACGATTAACGTGATATCATTTCGGAAGAACATATCCGGGACTTCGTCCGATCGTCTGTTGGTTTAAACGCGGATGTGAGTTTCCTCGGAGCGGGCATGCCGCAGGAAACACAGGAAAGCATAACATTGCGGATGTGCTGGGGTGCGTGCGCGCGTGCATATCCTTGCGTCCGGAAAAACCAACTTGTTTGATTGCATCTGTCTGCACTCTGGTAATTTATACTCACAACGTTCACAAATATTCCCAGCTGCGAGGCATGATATTTAGTGCAACAGTATCCCCGTGCAGTACTGCGTTACATCTCAACAGCAGCTATTTGGGCTCCAGTGTGGTAGCGCCGCGTGGGGAAAGCGAACGCGCGCAAGCATGTTAGGATTGGGATGTTTGGAGCTGATGTATGCAGTGTCGAGTCGAGCCTGGGCACGGTGTGGGGTGGTGGTGGGGGAGTGTGAGGTTGTGATGGCGTGTATGTGTGGGGGCGTGCGACGGGTGACGTTGGAAATTGGAAGCGCGGCACATGGTGGTAGAGATGTGAGGAGGGGTGGGGTGGGGGGGGGGAGAATGTGGGCAGACATCCTTACTGTGTTTATCGCAGTTAATTGAACTGTCGAAGCTGCCGTGTAGCATATCCTGCTAAACTCACACAATTCAAAACACGTTCTTACACGCAAAAACCTTATAATGTAGGTCAACGTCTAAGGAATTATGAAATATAGATATATACTCTCCATATTATAATATTATCCGTTCAAAAGCAAGGAAACTATAGGCGACGTGCGAGCGCTGATGAAATGGGGCTAGCAAGGTGGATATATACACCTGTACAATATTCATCGAGTATATAGTCGAATTATGTTTCAGAAGATGAAAACATAAATTACAAATTTATTAATAATCACATCTTACCTATTCAATAACGATACTGTACGTAATAGCGCCGCGCAGATCGTATGCGCCCCTTCAAGTATTCGAATGTAGTTACGTATAGCCACGTTTTTCAAACTAGACGTTCCGTTTGTAGTATCGGTGAAAATTTGAGCTGTCAGTGTACGAAATAAAAAAAGTTTAACTATTTAACTATAGTCGTTACGCAGTAAGTCATAAAACCGTAAATATACTGAATTTTAAATTACGAACTAGAATACACACCTTATAGTTATTATACATACGTTTGTACACTTTTTCACTCACAGATATATTTCCGCTATTTTACTTCTATTTTCAAATCGCAGTAAAGGAAGATCTTAATAATTAAAAATATTATTATAATAACAATAATTCTGAAAACGAAATTGATTACGACCACAGACTATGTAAGCGAATTGTTAAAATAATTAATAAATTTGTATATAAATTATTGAATAAAATATTATTGAAATATTCTACGACGAAGACTTCTACGACGTTAAGATTCATTTGTCTGACAAATATAGTTACTTAACCGCTGGCTTTGATGTTTTTTTCACGCCTTGACGGCAAAAAACTTGGGAGTTAAGTAGTATGTCAGCGGCCCCATTAGGCAAGATCATGTAGCAAAATCATTCGCACACGCGCAGATGAGTAATCGACATTGATAGAAAAACAGCAAAACATCGGACGTTGAAGGCGGTAGCTGAACATGCGCTGAATGATCGCGGGAGCATCAGCCATGTTTGATATATGCGCTTAAATTGCTTTGCATTAAATCCGAACCATAAAGTAAGCTTATTACACGATGTAAATTAAGATGTGGTAGTTGTTATGTGGTGATAGGTGATGTGGTCGTGCCATGGTATAAGTTATGAAACACAGCTTGATTTTGGGATTTTAGTAAAAATAAAACTTCAACTAGAAAGATAGATTAGATATATACATAATTCCCAAAAAATATAGAATAATGAATCGAAACCGCTCGAAAAAACGAAAGGAGCAATCAAATTAAATGCACATGACGCTAACAACTATGAGCTAGCATCATTTCATGTTTTACTATGTGTTACCGGCAACAATTTATGTAAAGCTATAAAGAAGGTATGCATTAAGCTCATGGTCACATAAATAGGCGCGAATGTATACTTTGCCATATGAGAGAAAGCTTTACGACATGTAATTATATAGCAATATGCCGATAATTCTGCATCGCTAAAACCTAGCTGTGATACGCATATAGTTGCAATGTTAATATGCCGTCATTATTTGCCTAGCCTAGAATATCCCAGGGGTATGTTGCAGGAAAAGATTATTCTAAAACGAGGTGATCGTGAAACATATGTAGGTCCTGGCCCTCATGCCGTTCCTCTAATGTTTCTACTGTAGGGAATCATGCATATAGGGGTTTATATTAGTTACAAAATAAACTATCATCTTGCAAAGAAAATAGTAGCGTTCAAGCGCCCATCACTGCTCTGAAGGTCCCTGTTTCCTCTTTGGCCTGCGCCCCTTATAACACCATGTAGCTCTAACGACTAGATATACCAATGTATGCACAGTTTATCGATACATAAATCCCTTAAATTACCCTCTAATCTAACCTGGCAATTGCAGTATATTTCATAAGTTGTGATCTTGATATTCGACGTAGGATTCCTCATTTCTCGTGTATCACTATACTCACTATTCAACGTACGGGATAGGTGAACAAGAAACAGCAAGACTACATGACCTACAGCCGCTTACCAGAGCATGTCTAACCCCGAGGAAATTCTAATCATTCTGCCTACATATCATCATATCATCTTTCTCTCTGCTCACGCAACTGTTGTTCATTTTGATTTTAATTTTGAGCATCGCCCCCGCGCAGAATATAACGTTTCCTTTTTTTTCCACGCGCGCGGCTGCCGGGCAGTCAGTAAACAAGGCAGGGTATATATACGGGCGCCATTGTGTGCGTGTTCTATTTTGAATGCCCGTAGGCTGGGTCTATGGTCTACTGTAATAATCGGCAGATCCCGTTACAGGTCGCACAACAGTCGTATTTTTAACCGGGCAGCGGGGGAGCAGCAAGGTTTCCTATAACCGTGGTCAGATGGCTATTAAAGCGAGTGACGGCCCCATCGTTAGTCCACTGCTGGCGGATTCTCATTACACGAGTGCACGAGTGTGCAACGAATATGTCAATAAATTCTCGTGATAAACAAAATTACGTTCATTATTGATACAGCATTATTATCTTACGCATGGATTCTATATTGCTATTATCGAGGTAGCTCTATATATGAAAAATTCAATATAGTTTACATAATATATTTAATTCTATACGAATCTCCACAGTCATGGTTAATAAGAGTACGATGTTCTGCCACTGTTGATTGTGAGACGACATTATATTTGATCGTAATGTGGCGTTTATATATACTGGTATTATACCGCTACGTATTTTATCGTATTTTATCGCTTTACCTACAAAACACAGCGAATGATAATTCCCTGCGTGTAAAACATTCGGATGGTGTAGAGTGTAGACGAACACGAATGTGAAAATGCTGAAAACCAGCGTTCTTCTGCAGCGCATGATTCCATCAATCACAGCAAGTGTACATTCTAATTAATAAGCCATCTACTATATATATACATATATATTATATAAATAAATAAATAAATATATATATGCATAGAAAAATTCTCGGATATTTCAGAAGAAACACGCCGAGTTTAGTGCGTTTATTCTATAGGGGAAAAATCCACATTTCCAATTCCCTAAATTGTATATAGAAACCTTCCGGCCCTATACTGAACATTGCTTCGGCCACGTAGTTTGATGTAAAATGATGAAAAAAACACCCTGCGTATTCCTAACGGCTTTTATTTATATATATGGAACTGGTGTATTCTTCACGAACACAATGGCGCACAGCGTGGAGGGACATGCGCAATGCTGCATACAGGCGTTAGCCTTGCGTTTGGCGCCGCTATGGGCGCACTATTATCCCGGTCTACTATTTCACCCCGCATCGTAATAGTTTCCCAAGGCCGACTGCTCGCGCTTGGGATTCCCAAACATGGAAACGCAACGAGGGTTCTTCGAGGTAGACTCGCACTGCGCAGCCGCGCGCGCTGCGTTGTGCGCGTGGAGAATACCCGATCTCTCGTAGTGGTTCCAGCGGCCGGTGCCCATCTTAGTAGCTAGTGCTAACGCATCATCCTCGGCCCGTCTCGACGATGCCCGGATAAGGAGCGGTTACCGCCTCTTTGCGTCGAGAGGAGCCGACTGAAAGAGGGTATCTTGGCGCTCGGGATGCGGTTGTAGCACTTGCTGGATCTGCGTCCTGAGGTGTCGGTGCTTCAACACAACAGACAGACCGCCAGTAAGCCACGCTTAGAAACCAACCAACCCAAGCATAATGGTAAGTTCATAGACAGTGTCTTTCGAGAAGAGTGGACGCTATATCTAGTCGGGCCTAATCGTGAGTTAAAAGGCGTAGAGTAAAACGCATAAACGTAAATTTGGCAGACTGAGGCGTATAATCTAAATGAATATATTTGGATAAACTTCGTTTCAGGAAAAAATTGCTCGTCGTGTGAGATTCTGCACATACGTACTAGTAACTAGTGAATTATGTACGAACTGTATATAATACATAATATCTTAAACGACACAGTTTCATTAGAGAAGCTGAGTGACATCCGACGATTCATAGTATGACGATGTTAAGCCAATTAACTATAATTAATTGAGTGCTACCGTTTCACTAGGTAATTTAATTCAACAAGTAAGATGTGTTTACAATTACCGCCCAGCAACATTCATCGATATCAAATATGCGCGCGCTAGATAGAAATAGAGAGAGAGAGAGAGAGAGAGAGAGAGAGAGAGAGAGAGAGAGAGAGAGAGAGAGAGAGAGAGAGAGA